AGAGAGAAAGAGAGAGAGAGAGAGAGAGAGAGAGAGAGAGAGATGGATCAGTTTCATACCGCGTGGAAAACCGATTTCGAAGAGTGAGTCATGAGAGGCCACGGTTTTATTGTGCTGTTCGCAGACAGAGACAACGTCCGAGGCTTGTTCATTAGGCAAATTGAATCGATGTAGTCGCCTTTCTTCCTCCCGAAAATTTCGGAAAGCTTTCTACCCTAATACGGGAGCAGCGATAACAATTTTCCCTCGTCTTCGTCCCGTGGCAGTATCTGCCGCGCGCCGGAACAAGGCTTTTACGCAAAGGAGCCGGTGAAGCACGCGGATACATTCGCCGCGGCGAATAAAAATTACTCTCGCGAAATGCCTGCACACGCGGACGCGCACCAACTTCCTCCAAATGACGAGAATCCGCTCTTATTGTTATCATCGTTTCACTCCCACTCGAGCAGTGACTCGCGAGTCTAGCTTGAAGAGACCTCGCGATTTTGAACGCGCGCGAGTTTAATCCATTGATCTTACGATCGAATTATTCTACTGCTGAATTATAGACGAAATTTGAAGAGAAATGTGGGGCGTGGTGTAACATCACCAAACACTTAGCAAGATTAATTAATTGATGGACTTTGGTCGGAAGTTTAAAATTAGAAACTATACCACTGTTCTGGAACGGGAATATTTTTGGGCAACATCGTTACCCAAAAATATTCTTTATTTTATTTTTTCAATTTCCCTATAAATAATATATTCGGTGATACCATACGAGTTTGGTATCAAATTTGTTGGCTAAATTGAATCAAAGAATCTACCCTTACTTTAAATCGATTCCTTAATATAATTTGTCCAAATGCGATGCCCACCTTCCGTTCAAAATACAATGGCCAAGATCAAAAAAGTATTGGCATGCTTCTCTTGCGATATTCTTGTGAAAGCAAACGATATATTAACAAAATCTGTTTTCGTAAATACAGAAGTAACATGCAGCAATTTCCAATAACGAGTTAATTTACAATAATAATATAAGTGACATAAAAATTCGAAGATCAAAAAGGTATTGGAAAAATGAAGAGTTTTTTTGTTTTGCAGCTTTAGTACATATTTGAGAAGAATGTAAAATTATTTTTAATGGTTCAAAGTAGAGTTAGTACTTTTACTGGTGTATGTGAAATAGCAAAATTACCCAGACGTCTCGTGAGATATTTGAGAAAATTGAGACTAGACACTCGATATCATTTTATTCGACGTTCCGAGTGATTTACGTTTCTGCAACAAATTACGATTTACATCCACTAGAATGGCAGAGAATCGGAGAAAATAATATCCAAGATTGGTAGAATTTGTGAAAAAATATTTATGTCTATCAGAAAGATATCTTTAAGAAAAGAAAAATGCTTCTAGAAAAGTATTTTCCACAACTGGAAGACGGACGCGAATCTACTATTGAAAAATCTAGACTTATTAAGAAGTAGTTTGTAGAAGTAGTTTGTAGAAGTTCTTATCAAAAAAGTAAGTACTTCAGTATTTTATTATTTACCATTAAAGCATAAATTACATTGTAGACATCAGAGTAATATGAGAATAAAAGTGATAGATATGCGATCTCAATTATCTTATATACTCCTGGGTATCTCATAAGCAACAACTCCAGTTTGAAAACAAGCATACATTCTTAATATTGGCAAAAGGATATTCCGTAATTTTTCTAATAATATTCCGCCCTTAAATGCAGATTAAGCACTGAAATTACGAGTATGTCGATATTTTTTTGACACTCGAACATTTACATTTCTTTGCTCATTATCGAATTTATTACTCAACTTACTGTGGACTTTACTTCTGCACGTAGCAAACTCTTTCGTTCTCACAAATATTACTAGAAAAAAGAACTTTTTCGACCACTCTGTGCAACCATCATTCTCGTCAAAAAGGATTTCACCGTCGACAGTCAGCAAAACTGTCGATTACGAGGCGAAGCGTTGCCGAATTCAAAGACGATCAATCTGCCAAATAACCGAGCTACTTTTAGCCGCGATAAAACGGTATCTCGACTGAGTCTGATCAGTCGTTCGAGTTGCTCCACTGGCGAGTAAAGTAAATCTGCAAACGGCGCAGCTCATTACTTTTATTATACCCACGATGTTCCCTGCCTTTACTGCGGGACCCTGTTCTTAAAAGCTGACCGACCAAGCTTCGCACGTACACGCCGAGGAAAGAGCTAAGAAGAAGCTAAACCCTAAAGTATTTATCGACAGGGTGGAGTACCGACGCGGACGCCTTTACGATCGATTCGCCTCGCCGATCCCTTTCTACGCTTTTTTCGCTCGGTGACAGACTCGTTCGTAGGGCTGTTGCACGACGGCGATCTTCCTCCGCTATTCGAGTCTTCTGTACAGCGCGACAGTTTACAGCCCCTGTCATTTTCTCTGCCTTTTATCGGCGGCACACTCGGCAGGATGAAGACATTTTTGGCGCCGCTATTCTGATTTTTAAATCGACGCTCATTCGATTCTGCCGCGCGACGGAGCGAACCCGGAGGAATTTGTTTCCCGGCTTTCCCGGCGACGGAAATCGCTCGCCCTTTATATCGCCGAACACATTACGCTCCTTTCATTTATTTCTCTCTACTTCTCTTTCGCTTCATTTATTTCTTTTTCTCTCTCTTTAGGTAATATTAATTTTTTTCTTTTTTTAGATAATAATATTCAACGAAGAATTTGTCGTAATACTTGTTTGTTACTTCAGCTTTTTTGAAATTTTTTAATATCGCGGAGACACAGCGGTGAACAATTATTAAACGAACTTTGCTTTATGATTCCAATTTTAAATACTGAAACTGACTGGAAACGTTTGGCGATATAAATTGATTTAGTTCTCGACAGGTTAGTCCTTCGGAGAAATAACGAATTAGATCCTACATGATGTGATCTTTAGATAATTGTGAAAAAGAATGGAAAGCTTAGATTGTCAACAAATTATGATATATATACCAAACATCGTTTAAGAGGGTTAAATTGAAAGCTCGAATGGATTAGG